TGTGACGTCAACACGCATTGTTGTTGTTTTCCTTGTGGCTACACGTGGCCCGCCGAGAGGACCTGGGATCTAAGGAAGAGAGAGAGAGCCAAACTTTTACCAAAGTTAACTATTTTAGAAATTCTTCCTTAACAGGTTCTACCAGGACCAGAACCGAATCTGGACCAGAAACGAGACCAGAACGGGTCTGGATCAGAACCAGAACCTGGACCAGAACCAGAGGAATCAGCCAATCAGAACACAGACCAGGTGGAACAGTTTAAGTAACAGCAGAAGGAGAAACAGAGGAGTCCGTTTGTCCTGCAGCACCCTGACTACAGAAACAGCTCAGCATGACCTCGGCCAGCTGTAGGAGGACCGACCAGAACCTCCCCTGTGAGGATCTGAGATTATAACGTGGATTATCAGGAAGCCATGAAGATGAAACGGCAGAAATGGGATTTCTGTTTTTAGTTTCCATCACACCGGGCTCTGCTGCCCCCTGCTGGTCATCCCGGCCTGCACTGTTCCTGTTGCTGCTCCCTGCTCAATAAAGTTCTGACCCAGTTAATCTGAGGGATTAGCCACCTCAGCAGATTAGCTGCTCATCTGCTGCAGTCGACATGGCGGCCCAGAGGAGCTCGGTTCTGCTCGCAGGTACGTGCTCCTCTCAGCTCACTGGTTCTGGTTCTGGACTGCCTGGCTGACAGAACCAGAACCAAATCCAGACAGAACCTGTGGTGGTTCTGCTCGTCTAGCAGCATAAGGTCAAAGGGCAACAAATGAGTAACTATAAAGAAACGCGACTCGGTAAATAATGAAGAAACATTTTTGTCACTTCTGATTGGTGGTCAGGAAAACACTCAGAGTGAGACCTTTGTCTGAATGGAACATCTATTTACCTCCAGAACCCATTTCCATCAGAACCAGCTCAGCTGTGGTCCAGATCCAGACCGGACCGGATCTGGATCTTTAGTCAATGCTTCAAGGTTCCAACTTCTCATTCAACATTTGTTCACCGGGTCACCGGACCTGGAAGCATTGGGTCACCCGGACTGAGGGAAGCATGGAAACCAGTCCAGAACCTCAGAACCTCTGCCACTCCGACAGCCTGGTGCTGCTGATTCCGGTTCTGATCATGTCTGTCCTCCGTGTCCCCAGGTCTGCTGCTCCTGGTACCGGTTCTGTTGGGATCAGCCTTCGTGGAGGAGCTGGACGACACGTAAGTCAGAACCAGACGTGGAGTGCAGTTCTGGACCGGGTCAGAACAGCTGAGCCAGAGGTTCTGATGGCAACCAGAACCGTCCGGAACATTAGAGTGTTCACCGGAAGTGTCAGGTCCAGACGGCAGGTTAGGACGGGTTCTGGTGGTTCTGAAAGCCCTTATGGCGTTTGGGCCAGGAGGTTCTGCTGGTTTAAACGGAACTGTGTGGGAAACGTTTCCATGACGACATGGAGACGTCACATGATGTTTCCAGTGGGTTCAGGTCTGGACTTTGACTAGGCCACTGTAACCCTTGAATCTGATGGAAACATCCCATAATCCCTTTGGTCATCTTAGTTTAGCTCCACCATCTTCCCACAGCATGATGCTGCCACCACCACGGTCACCATGGGGACGGTGTGTTCAGAGAGGTGAAGAAGTTTGAGTGGTGTGAAAACTTCTGAACTTTTGTTCCCTTCCTGATTTTGACCAAACCAGTTCTGATGGTTCTGATGGTGGTCCGCTTTCCTCCTCTGGGTTGAACCTGGTGACCTTTAGCCTTTAACCCCCCCCATCAGGACAATAATCACTCTGATCTTATCGTCTGATTCAGCTTCATGGAAACTACAGATCCAGAGGAGATCTGGCTCATCCAGGTACTTCTACTCTGACTGACTACAGTAATCTGATTACTCTGACTACAGTAATCTGATTACTCTGACTACTGTGTCTCCTCAGTTTTACGCCCCCTGGTGTTCCTTCTGCAAACAGCTGGATCCTGTATGGCACCAGATCGGATCCGAACTTCGGAGTCTCGGCTCTCCGGTTCGCGTTGGAAAATCTGACGCTACAGTCAACACTGGTATGACCCTTCAAAATAAAAGCATGCACTGGATGGAGGTTCTGTTGGCTGGCTGATGTTCTGCCTGGTTCTCCCAAAGGTTTGGCCAAAGAGTTCAAGATCCGAAATTATCCCGCCATCCTCATGTAAGTCTTGGCATCATCATGACATCACCGTGACATCACTGTGACATCACTGTGTATGTTTATTATAATTTTTGCATCAAGCTTTGCTCTGGTTTTGGTGCAGAAATGCAGCAGAAGTTCTGCTTCCCACAGGACTACCAGATCCCAGTAGGACCCAGTAGATCCCAGTAGGACCCAGTAGGACCCAGTAGGACCTGACTGTTCTCCGCTGATTTCTCCTTCAGGCTGAAGAACAATGTCAAGTTTAACTACCCCGGGTCCAGAACCAAGGAGTCAATCATGGACTTCGTTGACCGGGTCTCAGGGTGAGTTTTAAGTATGAAGATATTAGCATAAAAATTACAACTGTATCAGGCAGTGATGTCACATGAGTAGGATGACACTGTGTGATGTCATTCAGGCCGCTGGTTCGTTCTCTAAGCAGCACACGCCTCTTCCAACACGCCATCAGCCACCATGACGTCCTGGTCGTTTATGTGGGAGCAACATCAGAGCTCAAGGTGCACAAACGCATGATGAACCAACTTAGACAGGACGTGTAAACCGGTAGCTTCCTGCTTCTCATCTGGTTCCTCTGTAATATGAAGGTTCCTGTTTGTCCTCCAGAACCAATGAACCCAGTCAATTCCCGGTTTCTGACCCAACCTGCTGTGTGTTTGCAGGGAAATCTGACGGCTGCAGCAGAGGAACTAATCGTCCACACCTACTTCTTCTCTGCCAGCAGAGAGATCCTGCCACAGGTAGGACGCTTCGGCCCGGTTCCACTGAGCGGATCGGGTTCATTCAATGTTTCATGAACCGCCGTGTAGAGGAAACGGTTTCCAGCAGAAGCTGGCAGTGAAACCCAACCACCTAACGAGACGTTGTACTGGAGCAACTACAGCCATCCTGCACCGACCTAATTTTACTGACCCGTACCACACCAACCGGTACCACACCAACCCGTACCACTCTGACCCGATTTCACTGACCCGTACCACACCGACCCGATTTCACTGACCCGTACCACACCGACCCGATTTCACTGACCCATACCACACCAACCCGTACCACACCAACCCGTACCACTCTGACCCGATTTCACTGACCCGTACCACACCGACCCGATTTCACTGACCCGTACCACACCAACCCTTAGTGAACCTCTCAGGGGAAACAAACCGTCTGTGGTGTGTTTGGTTGTTTGGACAGTGGCTGATGGCTGACTGTTGTTCGTTATTCTGCAATAGCCAGCCACGCCCTAACCTCACCACCGACTGACTACTGAC